GGGTTTAGGGTGTAGGGTCTTAGGTTTCATTAGTGTTTACGGCTCGGGTCTGGCTTTTTACGGAATAAGGTTGGGAAGCCGAGGTGTTCGCTAAGAGTCCAAGATGGTGAAAGTACTACCTAATAATCACCAACTTACCCAACACCTACATTACAAGTACTATTACTCCAAACCCAAGTACCTTGTGCTTGGACCCTCCGGGTTTTGTTCATTTTTTTAAGCTCCCTGAGACTCTTTTGTTTCAGTGTTCACGGACGAAACCCCGAAAATACTAGGCTGTGGTCCCTGGCCGTTGACTTCCTGAAGTTCAGTAGGGAATGAAGGGATGGAAAAGAACATGGAAGCTACTACGGCGTTTAGGGTGTAGGGACCTCAGACCAAGTTATAGGGTCTAGTGTTGAGGCTTTCAGGGTCCAGAAACTTCACAGGAAGCTGCTAAGCTATTTGGGATAGTGATAGTATAGGATAGGGATCCGTTCCTCCTTTCCCAGAGAGGAAGGTGAGGAGTGTTGCTTGGAAGCCTCCGCCGCGCAAATCTACAAGAGCTGAAGCTCTTAGGAGGAAAAGCTCCGTAGCTGGCTTACTGGGCGTTGGAAGGTAAGGAGGGAATATATGGGAATCAAAATTATATAGAGATGATACAGGGAGTGTATTACTTTATCTCCTTCTATAGGGGCCGCTGTATGCTGGATGGACTCATGCCTTCAATCCCTCCCCTAAACCCTAAACCCTAAACCCTAAACCCTAAACCCTCCTATGCACCAAGAAGCAGCGCTCCGGAGCCTGAACATAAAAAGGGGGGCAACCCAAGTCCAAACAAAGCTAGGGTTTAGGGGTTTAGGGTTTAGGGCCTGGAACCCACACCCAAACCTGGAGGCAGTCGAAATGAAGAACCGCTAAGCCCACAAGCATCTGACAGTGCTTACGGTTTTGGGTTTGGGGGCTTCCAAGTTACTGGGCTGGTTGTCTTGAAGCCATGTTCTTTTGTAAGGTATCCCAGGTTTAGCGGGGCTGATCAGACTCGCCTGAAAAATTCAAGACAGCCGACGATACGCTCGCGGCACCTCCAAATCCCGTGCACTATCCCGCTGAACCTGTAACTTCAATCTTCGTTCGGGTTTATACGGGGTGTCCATGGATGTGGGCGTTTGTGCTTCTAAGAACTGCCGGACAAGGGTTCCACACACAATGGAAGCCCACCACATGCTGTAGAAAAGTTTGAAAAGGCAATCGCTCCTTCAAGTGGCAGCATCTTCCCCCGTTTAGGTTTAGGGTTTCAGGTGCGTACTGTTTGCATAATTGGTAGGGCTCAGTAGCCCATCAGTCAGGGTACCTGGTGCTGACAAAAGAGCTCCCCAATGTCATTTCAGGCTCCCGGAGTTAGCCTATATGGCCCCATAAGCAGGACACCACTTCACGAAGTTACCCTATTCGGAGCATGGCTAGATCCTGCATCCAAATCCTTAAGCCCTACCACTATGGCCTATTAGACCTTAAGGGTACCTTAATCTCCCCTTAGTAGGGTCCTAATAGGGAATTTTAGGGTCTAAACCCTAAGACCTAAGCCCTAAACCCTAAACAAACCGCCCATAATGGTACGGCACCTGATTGTGTCCAACGGAGGTGATGGCGGCACAAAAGCCCTGAGGGACCGGATTAAGGGCACAGATCAGTGGCAAAGGGTTTAGGGCTTAAGGCTTAGGGTTTAGGATTCAGGGTTTAGGGTTCATGGGTTCTGGAAGATGTTTGGCTGTTTTGTGTGTTTTTTGGAACTTTAGGCTGCTTTGGGAAGTGTTTTTGGAGTTTCCGAAGAAGCCTAGGCTGTGGATGGTTTGGAAGATGTTGCCTGCCTGGTGAGGTGTTCAACGCGTGGTGTTCCTGTGCGGCATAGTTGCTTGTTCAACGCGGCGATGTCCCTAAACCCTAAACCCTAAACCCAAAGCCCTAAACTGCAGCAAAACCCTTTTAAAATTGAAGGCCCTCCCTTCAGGCTGCCAGGCTTTCTTCTCTTCAGGAGTGTAGGATGGCTGCTGGAAGAAGTGCCACATGCTTCGATCCAAGGCTCCATGTAGCTGTATTGTATAGGTATATACTTGAGCCCCAAACTAGCTATATGGGAGCACTTTTGGGCCCTAAGTATATACCATCTACCTACCCTAAACCCTAAACCCTAAACCCTTATGTTATATATATATACGGTATAGCTACATGGAGCCTTTGAGTGAGTCGCAAGGGTTTCTATTACTTGGCGGCGTCAGAGTCTTACAGGCCTGAGTCGACACGGTTTAGGGTCTAGTTCGGGTTTCGGGGTAACCCTAAGGCTAAGGGTCCAAGGACCCAAATACTGGGGTAATTTTAGGGCCCCAATACTGAACTATTAATGGCATTTGGGCCCTAAAGCCCTACTATTTGTGTCTTTGGACCCTTAGGGTAAACCTCCATGGCTAGTTCTCACCATGGGCTTTCCATGAAACAGGGGGCCTGAAATAAAGGCCCCAAACTATCCCTAAGGGTCCAAGTACCTAATAATCATATACTTACCCAAAACTTATACCATAATTATTGTTGCCCCAACCCCAAGTACCTGATTATTGGGTACTTGGACCCTCTGGGTATTTTCCTCCTCGTAGCAGGCCCCCCCACCCCTCCAATTTTTGGAGACCAAGTAGAGAACGAAAGACTTGGAATTCAATTTGTAGTCTCTGGGTGCGGTGTTTTACGTGGCGTGTGGGTGCGGAGTACGCTCATTTGCGCTCTTTTTTGTTCAATTTCACTTCGCTTTTCTATTTACGCGCACGAAATGAACACACACATCCATGATATCATCACTAGGCACCGGGCTGGTTCCTTAGATCTTGGGATTGGACGAGTACGTGTGTTCAGTGCTGTAGTTAATCTTTAACTACTTAAATAAACGCTTAAACAGAGTCCAAAGGGCCATTATACTGCTGTACTATATACCCTGGGAGTCCAGGTACAATCTTGCGTAGCAATCCAAATCCCCAAACCGTACATCATGCCGGAAAAGTCGAACGCGGTGGAGGACATGGGCAAGCTCAAGACGGTTAACAAGGAGAGCAGTCGCCTCAGCATGACTTGCGCAAGCTTCAGGATTAAAGGTTTAGGGCCTCTAGAGGCTAGGACTCTATAGGCTAGGGCGCAGAGTGTTACAATGTCTTGAGTCCAAACCAGAAACTCATATTTCAAAACCCCTCGGGTTATGTTTCATGCAGATTACTAATTATTGGATATTTGGACTGTCGGTTTGGGTTCAAGCCCTAATATCTTTACTACCATCCCCATAAAGGGACCTATCCTTATACTTACTCGCCATGATGGCACCCTTTGGGTGACAGGCAGGAAAGCATTCAAGCTAACGTAACTTGCACTAGCGCTTCATACTCCAACCCATCATGGGGCCCTTAAAATTAAATAACAAGGCCAGTATTCCCTAAACCCTATAGATCCTGCAGCCCAGATAAGTACAAATTGTTTCGGGCAAAAACAAGAACTCGTTCAAAACCCGATCAAAACAGCCCAAAACTCTCGACCTGAACCCTATACAATCTGCACACCCTAAAGCCTAAAACCTACATTCTAAACCCTAAACCCTAAGCTCTTCCCCGTGCAAGAGCTCTCTCAGGTGTGCAGACAGAGCAGGTTGAGCAAGAGAAGGGCAGCGCGGATCTTCTCAAGAAGGCAGGGTTTGGGGTTGAGGTTTTACGGTTTACAGGGTCTAGGGTTTATAGGTTTTTGGGTTGATAAGGTCCAAGGGGTTTGTAGGGTTTCTAGGATTAAGGGTGTAGGGTTTTGGGTGTAGCGCTTAGGGTTGGGGATTGTTTAGGTATAGGTTTAGGTGTTTGGGGATTAAAGTTGGGCTTCGGGTCAGAGTTGTAACAGCCTACCTGGACAGATATATAGGTTTGACATAATAAGGACTTGGACTTTCAGGGATGGAGCTTAATTACACCTGACCTTAAGCTTTGGTCCAAAACTCTAAACCAAAAGCATGAACCCTAAGCCCCAAACAAAGTAAGCTAGACCGCAAAAAACGGTAAAGATCATTACCAACAACCGCCTTTCAGGGTATATGGGTTGCTCTATCCCCTGAATAGGTATAACCTCAAAACTTGCACGTAATTGGGCTAACAATAGCCCCATAACCTTTACTGAGAGGCAGTTGCAAGCTCTAGGTGGGAAATCTCTTGACATGGGGTGCGCACAACGAGTGTCTTCAGTATCCACACTCTTCAATGTAACATATCATCAGAAGCTCAACAAACGTTTGTCCAACATTGACATCTACTGAAACTAGTCTTCCAAAGCATTTCCTGGTGCGAGATACACTCCCCCAAACTAACATGGAAACCCATATAGCCCCTTGTAGAAGGACTGTAGTCTTTATAGGGCCCTTTTTATTTTCCATGTTAGTTTCCGGGAGTGTAGAGTCTCGAGCTATCCAGGGAAGCTTCAGAGTGGAAGGTGTTCAGGTCTGGGGCATAGAATCTGGGTTTCGGAGTCTATGGGATTGAGGCAAGCAAGCAAACCCAGAACATGCAAAGCCTCCAGCAAGCACTGACCTAGGGGGGTTCTGAAACTGATGGGACCAATTCTGGGGCCCATCAATCCTGGATCCGAAGCTCAAATATTAAGAGACCCAGCCTTCTTTTTCATACATATACACATATCTGCATCCCGCAAGGGTGGTTGGCAAACGGAAGGTTACGTCCCATCAAACGCAAAGGTTGCATCACTTCGCCACTCCGAATCCTTCAAACCTCCAAGCCCGCAATCCCACCTGTAAGCACGAAGCTCCCAAGCCCTCCAACCGGGATTCCGTGAAACACTTAAGGCTACTTACTGCTGAACTATAGGTAGCTTGGGATACAGGTAGGGTTTAGTGTTTGGGGAGCTGACTAACCATTATATACTCAGTAAAAGCAAATGCAAGAATCCCAAGTACTCAAATATTGGGCACTTGGACCCCAAGCCCAAAACCCTTTATATGTCATATTTTCCCTGTAGATCCCTCCGACATGAATCTTTCAACGTGACATATATTGGATGCTTGGACCCTCTTGGCCACTAACGCAGGTCGTCAAGCGAGTTGCCAGGGCGTCGCTTTGCGGAGTGGAGGCCACAACCACGCGGTTTAGGGTTTAGGGTTTAGGGTTTAGAGTTTAGGGTTTCTTCAGTGGATCTAAGGTCCTACGTAACCATGAGCCCCAAATATTGGGCCATTAATTGTTCCTGGTTCCTAACCGTTGACCCTTGATTGGGTTTGAGGGCCTTATGGGTACATGCGGATTTCAAGATTAAGGACCCGCACTACGTAGCCGACGTAGTTCAAACCTTAGAGTTAGGAAGAGTGGATCTGCGGTTTTGAGTGGTAGTTTGGAATAGTCCCGAATACATTTCCTAACAGTAGCCCATGTGCATTAATTAGATGTGGGATGTTGACTGTAGCTCATAAGACAAATTCTTCAGGGAAGATATTAGAAATATCTTGGTGTTTTAGAAAAGAGGCGCCATCCCCCCCCCTAAAGCAAAGGTTCACTGAATATCTGGAAATCTTTCAGTGGACTAGTCTGAGGACCTCTGGGGACATGGTGAGTATTTCAATATCATGAAGTCTCTGGTTAGGGCTTTGTAAGGTTTTTGATGCGGAAGCTGCGAATTGTGGAGGGTCCAGGTGCCTGACAATCTGGGAGTTGGTTTGCGTACTAGTATATGGGTGGTTGTCAAAATTATGATCCCTTTTTGGATCCCTATTATAATACGGCACCTCATACTTGGGGTTCCAAAATTGGGACCCTAATTTTGACAACCACCCATATAATTGTGGTTTAGATTAGCGAAAGTGCAACCCTAAACCCTAAACCTTGTCAGGTCTTTGGGCCCTTAGGGAAAGAAGGCTTAAATACATTACGTTGCCTTTTGTGCTCTAGAGGCCTTACTGAGGTGCTGCACGTAGTGGTCTGAGCGTAGAAGTCATCTGGTCTGCTGTTAAGGAACCCAAATAAAATTACCATGATATGGGCATATAGTGAACTATAGTGACGTAACTTAAGTTCCTTAACAGTTACCCACGTCTGTCTTTGCTCTCCGATTGGGTGTCTCAGCTGCGCAGGGTTGGTCCCATGATTTCTGTTTGTCTGGTTGAGCCCCTAAGGATTTTGATGGTTGACCTTTGCTTGGAGACCCTGACTTGACCTTGAACCAGGGCATGAACTCGTTTAGGGCTTCGGACTCAGGGTTCTTGTGACCTCAAGCTGCGCTGTCGCAGGCAGTGGCTGACTGCGTTGTACTGCTGGCTTCTCATTTTTGTCCTCACATATGGGTATACTTTTATACACATCTGTTGGTTGCTTTTAAGAGTTGCGGGTCCTTTCGCAGATCCTGGAGAGCCCCATTCTTGGAATTTCCAGGAGATCGAAGTTAAAAGGCTGGAGCATTGAAATGCGGGGATCATAGCATTTTCCCTTTGTTTACTGTGTGTAAGGTTGCCGGATACTCTAGTCTTCAATTGTTTGGCTTGTGACATATGTTCTGCAAAGAAATCAGAGTAAAGATGCTATGACTATAAGAAATGTCCTGGTAGTGCAAACAAAGACATGGGGGCTGTCTCTGGAAATTCGTGGGGACTCAGAATCAGCAATGACTAGCAGCTGTGCCCATGAGCCATAACTATTCGATCTTTTACTAGCTGGCCTTTTCTGTCGTACCCCAGTTATCCTGACAGCTCATTCGGCAAGCCGCCTAGGGCTCCACAGCGTGAGTCAAACAAACCCCGACAACTCCATGTGGCTGCTTCCCGAAAACAAATCCTCTGAACATCAATCATGCTTGTCATAAGAACGTGCAAAACGATGCAGCCCTTTTTTCGGGTAATTCCTTCGCATCCCCAAGGACACACTTAAAAGACTGCTCACTGAAAGGGTGGGCCACGCCTTATAGTTCCTGGAGACTCCCAAACCGTACACCCTAAACCCAGAACCTAGACCCTCGACCCTTGAACCAGACCTGAAACTCGAGACCCTAAACCCCAAAGCTCTCAACATCCAACAGCTTGGGCGGCTTCAGCCCTAACCTCTATACCTGAATCCCAAACCCAGAGGGTCCAAGTACCCAATAATTAGGTACTTGGGTTTGGGGGCAATAGCAATTGTAGTATAGGTTTTGGGTAAGTATATGATTATTAGGTACTTGGACCCTTAGGGAAAGGTATGTAAAATAATGGCCTTTTGGGCTAGTTTGGGGGTTTGGGGTGTATTATTTTACCTACTTTTGGGGGTCCAGGTATGCCCTGAACCGTCGGCACTCAGTACTTACTCAAATGCAAAGAAGATTTCAGGCTTCTTTGTTCTGTTGATGTAAACACCCTGCAGGACTCTACAAAAGTTTTCCTGCCAATTATGGCCTTCCAAATTACTGTCATCACGCTGGATTTGAATATTGGAATTATTGTAGGCTCCAGGGCCTTGTTGGTACACGCGCGCAAGCCTAGAAGTGAAATCACCAAGTTTAGGGGTTATGTTAAGGGTCTAGGGGTGTGTGTTGAGGGTCTAGGGTTTCGCATTTAGGGTTGTAGGGTTTAAGGGTTTTAAGGTTGCGGGTTTAAGGTTTTGAGTTGGAGAGGCCCGGGCTTGGGTTCTTCCCCGCCGTAACAACCAGCATTGAACTTCTCACCTCCAATGATGGAGAATCAAATGGGAAACTACATGGAAACCGGGGTTACTAAGTTATGTAGGGGAGTTGTATCTACAGTCCTCTTTAAGTAGGTAGAATATGGAATTCCCCAAACGCATAATAAGATCCCCATATATCCCACATTCCATCTACTTCAGGGGGACTATAGGTCTAAGTCTACAAATAATACCTACAAGGGGCCCTAAACTCCGCAAATATAGCTTACACTGGGCTATTCTGCTTGGAGCCCTAGAAGACCCTTCCCAACCTAAACCCTAAACCCTTTCACCACAAGAAACCTGTCAGCCTGTCTTGTCGCCAGTGAATGCTGTCAGCACATTCTGAGCGGATCTGTAAAGGGAGCTCCTCATCCAGAGGATCCACGTGGGTGGTTGTCAAAATAATGGTATTTTTTCTGCATCCCTACTATAATACGGCACCGAATATTTA